GTATACTGTATATGGTCAGCTGTATACGGTCAGCTGTATACGGTCAGCTGTATACTATATATGGTCAGCTGTATACTGTATATGGTCAATGCTTACCTTCATCCACCCCTGTGACCCGAACTGGTCTGCTGTACTGAATACGAAATCCAAACTGACCATCTTTCTTGTTTATTATCACTGTTCTTTCTCGAACTGAAAGCAAAACCAAATCAAACTGAATTCTGGGATGTCATCGATCAAGAATTTTGCACTTGTATTCATTTTGTGCGAGTTCACAGTGACTAGTCAGTGGAAAACTGGTTATTAATCTAGCAATAAATTTAGTAATATTGATGTTTCTATGCCAGATGAATATATACATTATGCTTGGGTATTCATTTTCACTTTACAGTGTATAAACTTAGCATTAAGGTATAAAAAAAATTATAATTATAAATTATAATGAATGTGAAATTCATATTTTTACATCCCTTGTAATATAATTTTGAAATGACCTCAGCATCCAATCAGTCTTGCAAGCACCCTTATAGTGAATCACAACCTCTCATTCAAATTTGAATCTAAGTTTATGAATATTCACAAACATTCACAATTAAAGAGAGGATGTCATCACCTGCGCATGAGTGTGTCAATGTTCCTAGGCGAACGTTTTCCCATGAGCATTTGTGTTTTTAGTGTTTGTCGTTATCGTTGTTTGACTCAAATCAAATGTATGCATTTTTTTTCTTATCTTTTAGTATTTAGATATTACATTTTATTGTATTTTCAAAAATGCAATAAAGATATTATTATTAATAAATACTCACCATTTGGGCTTAATCTGGTATAATCTTGGATTGAGTCACTTCTAATTATTCGTCTTCTTGAGATACTTTTATAACACATGTTAAACTCTGCTTCAGAAGCGGTTGTATCAATGGACCCACGTTCGACTCTGTCACGCGAGAACACATCATCATTTCCACTTCGACTCTTTGGCGTACCTAAAAATATGATAGTTGTAAAATTATAAACAGTTCAGAGAGGGGTGCACCCTCTATTCTATGCAAAGTCTCTGCAGTATACATATTATTATAGATATTGTATTAGCTTAGAATCAATTATGCCTACCTGCAATGCTAGTAATATCTCATCAATCATTCAGATATATACAATTGTCTCAATACGTGATGCGATAAGTAAACTCCAGTATGTTGAGATTCAGTTAATTTTTTATAATTACAAAGCCTCAGATTCTTACCGGCAACACTACTGAAGTTTGATCGATCAGAAAACACTTCATCATTTTCGCCAACATACATCCATGTTGATCTTCTGTATCCTTCATCATGGATACCAACATCATCATCCTCTTCATCAGATCCATCGTCCATGGTCTCTGGTGACCCATCACGGGAAGATTTGCGACGCGGTCTTCTTATAGTTGGAGTTTGTGATTCTATATTACAGTGCATGCTCTGCTCGGTTGACATGCTCTGCTCGGTTGACTGTAGTTTCATTTCTTCAAATGATTTACGAGGTACAGTGGAATTTGACATTTCTGATGCAATGTTCTTTGATTCTGTTACATGACTTTCACATTTATTATTCACTAGTAATGGAGTGTATTCGCTATCACTAGCTTTTCGTGTTGGTGCAGCATCTTTCTCATCAAATCTGGCATGGTTGTCATCTTCAGCATAGTGTGGTTCCCCAGGCAACGAATACATCTCAAGTTCAGACGATGCGCGTGATATTGAATCATCCAATTCTTTCAACACGCTCTCTATAGTTAAAGACTCATTCAACTGAATATCAACATCATCCATAAATTTTAAATCATCCTCAATTCCTCTTTTTTTCACATCCTTTTCAGCATCTTTTGCTAATAAATTGTTGGTGTGCTCAACATGAACTTCAGCAATGATGGTGTTCTCTTGTTGTTCCCTTTCAATCTGACTCAATCGTTTAGGTTTCGGAGGAGGGATTGGAGTATGCGATCGTTTTGTTTGTGGTGCTACCGTTGGTTTGACGTTCTGCTCTTCAGAAGATGACGATGGGGGAGGTGTGGTATATGAAGGCACTGATTTAGTCTGTTGTGTTATCATAATCTGTTCTTGTTCTGAAGTACTACATGTTGATTTCACCCTTGGTGGTTTCTTTGGTGGCTGCTCAGCACCTGCCCGCACAGCGAGTCGAATGTCTGTCGTCCGCCGAACAGCATCATTTGAAGCTTGCCCTTGATCATCACGACCACTGCCCTCTATTCTCTGAGCATTTTCAACATTATACTCCATTTCCGAATTTCTTTTTTTCAATCGTAAAATAATATCTTTTTCAGTCAGCTTCTGGATAAACGAATCAGGCACATCAATAGCTCGTTCATTAGCATTTATTTTTTTCTCTTCCATGTATGAGTTTCTATCTTCATCGTCACGGTAACTGGTATTTGTATAATGAGAATATTCACTGTACATACTACACTCACTCACGTCACCATTGTCAGACACTCGCTTCTTTTTTTTCCTTCGTCTCAGAAATATTCGTTTCTTTTTTTTCTTTTCTATTTGTGGGTATTCCTCCTTGAACTCATCAGGGGAGTACACCATGTACCCCTTCTTGTTTTTACCCATGTCGTCGTCGTCTTCGCTAACAGAATACCATGCACCTGAATCCCCAGTTGAATATGAATAGGAAGATGCTCCTGAGTCTGAATCAACAACTGAATCTTGCAGCGATGCTGAATCAAGTAATTTGGAAATTTCTGAAAAACAAGAAAATAACAGAAGACAAATGAAAATATGTAGAAATGATATTCTCTTAACTAAATGGCATGTAGAAGAAAACATCAGCACCCTCATGTGCCAATATAGAGACAAGACAACTCATTAAATTTTACGGCGCCCTCATTGCATATTTACGCAACACCCCAGATTCTATATGGGCGTGCATGCGTAACGCTGAATCTTTGACTTTCAGGAAAGTCGTCTATTTAATGCATGTACCACACCTTCCAGCAAAAATTGCAGAGAATCGGTTGCTGATAATCACTGAGTTTTATGTACCGGTAGCCTATATCTACCAATGCCAACAAATGATACTATCACCCTATTGCAAAACGTTGAACGAAAAAAAGTTTGAATGGAAAAAATTATCATCTGCATATTATGGAAATAAAGTAGTTTTTGAATGGTTTAAAGCGGGGGAGTTGTCATCTGCACATGCGTCAGATGGCCATAGCGTGTCAATGTTTACAAACAAGTATCTACCCATGAGCCTTTGCGTTTTTAGCGCATGTTGTTATTGTCACTTGGGACTCAATTCCTGTGTGTGCTCTCGTTTTAATCTGGTCTTTCCAAAGATAGATACTAGTTATGAAAATACGCTACAAGCTAGAAACCCATGTTGCTGAGAACTCATTAAATGAATACAAATGATTGGCCTCAAGATCATTTCTCATTTTGGCTATTTTTGGTTTTAATTTCTTAACTTTTTTTTTTAAAAAACAATGAACTTGTAAACAAATCTTCAACTTCATGTGTTAACTGAAAGTAAAAACTTATTAAGTGTATAGTGCCCCAATGTGTTATCATAGAGAATTAAACTACATGTATTTAAGTTTACCATGTTCAGTCTAGAAGCGCCTATATTGTATGAATGAATGTATTGTACTCTTATGACCCCAGACACATCTCTGTCATGTAAAAGAGAAAGAGTAAGAGAAAGAGAAAGTTTGTAGAACTCAGTTTCTCAATTACCAATCTCCCTCAGTCATCACCAATATATGTATACTTTACCCACTGGCTTGTTTCCTGATCACTAATAATGATGTATTTAAAGGCCCAATTTACTTGCCCCGGGCAAGTGTGAATTGGAGGTGTGGCTATGCTAATGAGTGTTGTTAATCACTTGCATAGCCCATGAGCATCCTGTTTCAGCGGTCCAACATCATGTGACTTTGATTGACAGTAGTTAATTATTCAAGATTAGTAGCGCATCCCTTTCCTCGGTTCATGTTTTTGACGTTTATCCGCCAAAATCTCAGCTCGTACACTATTTATTGTCATAAATACTACACACATGCAGTCACTGCTGTGATATTCATAGTCACATGCATCCACTTTGGCACGACATAATCGACCTGTAAGTTTGAGAAAACGTGTTTTTACGGAAGCTTGGCTGAAGCTGTTCACTACAGTGTGACAAGCAAGGAAATAATCCCTATTGTTTAGGGGCGTATTTATAGTATACCTAGGCCTTTAAAGAATAAAGAGCTGCCCTCTGTCTATCATTTCATGTTAGTATGGCAACGATAAGGACATAAGCAAAAAAAGTCAAGCCTATTATTTGCACACATCTTCATTCTGTTCTGTTATTATGCAATAATCAGAAAAGTATTTAAAGGTTATTGGTAGAAACATGTTGACTGTTAATTTATGGTTATTATATGTTTAACTTTATTAATCAGTCAGGGTCTGCCTTGTGTTATCTCATACATAGAAAAGAGATAAAATTGTTTTTATGAAAAACATCTTTCAAAAAATAATATTTGTGTCATGCACCAGCTGTTGTTGACAGACATTTTATTTGCAAAGGAAATCAAATTGAGTATTTACTGTAAAATATTTTATTTTCGCTTGGAATTAATTTTCGCTGATACATGGAAGAGAGATAAACTTGTTTTTATGAAAAAAATCTTTCAAAAAATAATATGTGTCATGCACCACCTGTTGTTGACAGAAATTTTATTTGCAAAGGAAATCAAATTGTTTTCATTACTGTAAAATACTTTATTTTCGTTTGGAATTAATTTTCGCTGAAGGAATAATTCAGTGAAAATAAAATCCAGCGAATATATCTTTTTTCCTATATTTTACATTCAACTCGTCAAAAATCAGTGAAAATAAATTCCATACAAAATACCCAAAAAGTCTTTTCAGCGAAAATTAATTCCAACTTAAATAAAGTATTTTACAGCAATGAAAACAGTTAGTGTGTGTGCACTACGATGTATATCCAGCAACACATATTCTACCATTTGGCATATCATTATTATATTTAGCTTTTCACAAATGCAGCTCTAGAACTTATAGCGTGGTTGATAACACCACAGATTTTTACAGATCATTGGCCAATTTTTCTTCTATACAAAAGAATTTACGTAACACAAATACATGTATACTTTGACAATGCACAACCGGCGATGAACAGCAGGAAAAACCACATAAACTTGGCGCTTTTCACAAATGCAGCTCTACAACTTATAGCGTAGTTGATAACACCACAGATTTTTACAGATCATTGGCCAATTTTCTTCTATACAAAAGAATTTACGTAACACAAATACATGTATACTTTGACAATGCACAACCGGCGATGAACAGCAGGAAAAACCACATAAACTTGGCGCTTTTCACAAATGCAGCTCTACAACTTATAGCGTAGTTGATAACACCACAGATTTTTACAGATCATTGGCCAATTTTTCTTCTATACAAAAGAATTTACGTAACATAAGTACATGTATACTTTGACAATGCACAACCGGCGATGAACAGCAGGAAAAACCACATAAACTTGGCGCTTTTCACAAATGCAGCTCTACAACTTATAGCGTGGTTGATAACACCACAGATTTTTACAGATCATTGGCCAATTTTTCTTCTATACAAAAGAATTTACGTAACATAAGTACATGTATACTTTGACAATGCACAACCGGCGATGAACAGCAGGAAAAACCACATAAAACTTGCCGCAGTTCTGAGTATTACTTCGTTAAAGTATGGCAACTCAAAAGAATGGATTTTATCTATGTCAACATCCTCGTAAATAGTATAAATTTTGCAGGAAATAGAATTAGCATATTTTCATAGCAGTGAAAATGTCTTTTGGGTCCTACGTCATGAAGTGTCACTGACTTTTGCAAATTTTTCTTCTTTACAAATGCCATGAAAATTCCTAGCAGCAAAACGTTTTACAGCATGTGGCATATTGGACCAATATTTCAGTTTGATTTCTTTTTATGCATTTCTATTTCTGCGTTTTGTTTTACATTTTTCATTTTATCAAAGAAATAATTTATGCTGAATAAATGCAATAAATATTGAACATAATGACAGGTGCAATTACTAATCCAATGATAAACACTTCAGCATTCTCAAAATCCTATCTAATGCAATGCACTTTCATCTAACCTATCTGCTAATGGTATGATCCAGTACACTAAAAATAACATGACCAGACTAAAAAACAGAGATGTAGAGGTCATGGATAGATCATTACATTGTTGACCTGCATATGCAACTATTGAAGAGGAATGTTGTTTATATCAAGAAATAACAGTATATATAACATGTCTTCTTGTTAATCAATTTTCCCATGATCCTCCATGTTTACTAACATGATAGCGTGTACAGCAAAGTGAGTATAATCAGAGGTACATTACTTGGGGTTTGCAACTCGCATAGTACTGTATGGTGACATCATGTCAAGATCCCATTCAAGTCTCTTCTCGTAGATAGCGAGACTGAGGCTACGACCTTCTGGCATGACACATATCAATGTTCAAGGTTTGTAATGAAAAAATAAAACTTTTCTTGTCACTATCATAGTGAAAAATGTAATACATCGAAAATGTACAGAATTTATAGTTCTCGTAATCCGTCATATCGTGGGCAGCTATTTTGATCCACCTGGACATCCCAGTATCCTAGTTACCTCGGGCATGCGCATTTGCATTTTTCTGAGTTGGAATGCTTATGCGAGAGCGAGATTGTAACGGGATCTTGGTATCATGTCACCGTAGTTGCAAACCCCAAGTAATGTACCTCTGGTATAATATAGTGTCACGATTTCAACATATTTTGTAACACATTGCCTGGTGTGGCAGATTTTTCCCATTCAATTTAGCTATCTGCAGAGGCTTTCAGAAGGCGAGGTTTTTATTAGAGAACATTTTTTAGCAGTATGAAACTGATCACAAGCAGACACCATGCACCGGCAATAAAGATCTTTTCAACCCCAACTGTGTTACCCCATGACAGCTTGTTGTTAGTCTTACTAAAAATTCCTTCTTAATCAATACTCTTGATAATTACTCCACAAATGATAATGAATAGAATTATCACTATTCTAGTTTAACATATTATTTGTGTGAATCCTATGACTTAATAAATAAACAATCACATATTGATGTGATTTATGTACTATGGTACTGCGACACCAGAAATGTGGGTGATAGTAGAGAAGTCAGACAAGACACTTTTGTGGCAAGTGAAAAAACAGAGATTACACACTGATGTCATGAATTTGTACAGGAGAAGTGACCATGTGATGTCATGAATAGGTACAGGAGAGGTGATCATTTGATGTCATGAACGGGTACAGGAGAGGTGACAATGTGATGTCATGAATGGGTACAGGAGAGGTGACCATGTGATGTCATGAATGGGTACAGGAGAGGTGACCATGTGATGTCATGAATTTGTACAGGAGAGGTGACCATGTGATGTCATTATTAGGTACAGGAGAGGTGACCATGTGATGTCAGTAATGGGTACAGGAGAGGTGACCATGTGATGTCATGAATGGGTACAGGAGAGGTGACCATGTGATGTCATGAATTTGTACAGGAGAGGTGACCATGTGATGTCATGAATGGGTACAGGAGAGGTGACCATTTGATGTCATGAACAGGTACAGGAGAGGTGACCATGTGATGTCATGAACGGGTACAGGAGAGGTGACCATGTGATGTCATGA